TATTTACCAAAACATATGAACTAATTCACAGAACTGTAATTGCAGTCATCAGGATGTCAGTCATCAGCTATGAGGTTACCAAAGACTCCAGCACTGTCACTGATGCCAAATCAAAGATGTATTTGGCTGAAGCTGAAACTGAAATTTAGTCTTCACCCAAGAGGGAGCTCTGCTTGTATTCTCTGTGACAAGCAGCCAGATTAAAACACTTTATAACAGATTAATTAAATGACCTCAGAAGTAATGAGACTACATTTTTAGTCATTAGTTCTATAACTTCAAAGTTAAAAACTACCTTAAAGAAACTGAAGTCATGAAAAAAGAGTAGATACAAGGACATTGTGTTGCTGGCATATGACTGGCAATGCTAGTATGAGGCATTTTAATATGGCATTAATAATTTGAATCAAGCATTTTAACTTCCCCACGGCAAACAAGGCATTGTGTCTCCTGAGGTTAGGATCTTTTCATTACCTGTGTCCTCACAAGTTCACCAGTGGGAAAGAAAAGAAAGCAAATTTTTCTGATGATCAAAACTATATTTGACTTTCAAACTTTCTGAGAGTCTTGCCATCAGTGAGTAGTTTCATTCAGTAAAGGATAACTGAATTAAAATCAACCAGTCTTTTAAAAAAATCAGTCCTTTCAAAGGAAATTCTCACTTACTACCTTCAGAGGGAAATTCTCACTTTACGGAGATAAGATTAGAAGCATGCTTTATTTAGATTTCTTAAAGGAGATGCTAGAAACAGAGTAAGAGCTGATGTTAGAAGATGATAATTTTTCTTGTCCCTCTCCCACAATAGGCCATTGGGTGTTATTTCTTCATATTATACACACTTATGAAGAAGACATGTAACATCTCCTTCTCTCCAGAGATATTTCAGTGACTTTGCCACAAGCTTTGATGAATCGTCATGGGATACATGAGTGAACTGGCGTATTAACAAACCATTGCTTACAGATTTCTCAGAGGAGACTCGCTTCTTCTCCATGTTCTTAAAATGTGGACCCCCGAGTAGGTTGTGCCCCAAAACTTCCATCCCATGCCCTCTGTTACACTCACATGGTATTTGCTGCCTCGACCCCATAGAAAGAACTGACAAAGCACCATTGTCACTTCAGAAATTCTGTCTACAGGAACAGAGCTTAAGTCAGTGAGAGGCAACCCCTTCTGAGAAGACTGTAGCTACTTCAGGAAACAGGCTGGCCCCTCCCAAGACAGCATTGGGATTGGTGAGGAATATTTGGTTTAGGAATACTGAAATACTCAGGGATTCTGCCTTGTCACAGGGATACTGTGTCTCTCATCAATCAAAAGCTGCTTTTGAGTTATTGCCTGTTATGAGGCAGCGGTCTCTACCAGCTAGACCTCAAAATGAAGCTGGGAGATAATTTTAGCCAAGTGGGAAATCAGGCCCTCTTGAAAGCGCTGACTTTTAAAAGATGGCAGCAGGGTAGGGAAAAAAGAAAACAGGTCATGAAACTGCAGAGTTAGAATTGCCTCCATAAGATCGGTCCTTGTGTATTTTGTCTTTTTTTTTTTCTAAAATGCTGATCAGTACTTCTTTATTAAGATTTTTAACTCAGCAGCTTGAAGACGTGATCTTCACTTGCAGTGTGAAAAGTCACAACACAGAACTAAAAAGGTCAAAATCTGGGCTCTACAGCCTCCTCAGACTTCTCCGTGCTTTAAAGAAGATCTACAAAGTTATCATTCCAACCACCAGCATACCACACCGGCGAGGCTTGCGGGAACACTGCCGATCCTCGCCTCTCCTTGCTGAACCTGGGCCATCATAAAGACAAGAATGCAAAGTATTCAAGGCTAAAGGAAGAAAGAGACAGTGTAATTCTGTGGTTTATTTCTTATGGCTTTTAGAGGGACCTGTTTATCTGTCTCCAATCACGTTCAATTTAAAAAAAAAACAAAACAAAAATATCCAAAATCCTTTGGGAAGATGAACTGTAAAACCAAGGACTATCAGTAACTCAAGCGGCTGAAACCTGTGCTGAAGATCTCTACGCCCCGTTGACCACGCAAGTTAGAAGAGCACTTTGGTTTCATCGGATGGAAATTCTAGTGAACGTGCTTTTATATGAGACGAGCTTAACGGCTCTTTCATGTGGTTTGGTTTTGGTTAGTTTATTGTGTACTTTTATGTGTAGTTTGGCTGTTATTCCTGAAAACAGATCTGTTTCTTAACAAAAGCAAATGAACCACTTGCTCTTTCTAAACAACTTCCAACAATAAACATTAGGCTGTTGCCCTCAGACCAGTTTCTCTTGCTCTGAAGTCTAAGGGCACAGTTAGAGGATACAGCTGCATCAAATACAACCACCCTCTGCCAACAAATGACAAGTCCTGTTCTCTCATCCCCTCTCCACCCCCTCCTTACCACCAGCTCCAATCACAAAGTAAGCTCATTCAAAATGAACTGCTGAAAACTATTACTTTTCTTCATAGTGCAGTTTCCCGCTGAATTAACAAGTTGAATTGGCTGACTGATTAATATCGGGGCTTGCACAAGGGAGCAGGGATAGGGAGCAGCGGGATTATGGAGAGTGGGGACCTCTTCTGTGGGAGTAAGTTGTTAGGATCACCTAAGACAGAGCAGCCCTCCAATGCAGTTGTGTGGTCCAAGCGGGGTGCCCCGAGAGTATCTGTCATTATGCACGTCCAACCCTTCTCTCTGCTGTTCTGCAGCCAGATAAAGGCTGTATCCGACTGACTGGCGACTCCTGGCCCACTGGAGACTCTGGAGGTACCCCAGGACACTGGATCCGTGCACATGGCGAGGCTGCTCAAGGAAAAGGCCGAATCACTAGATCAGAAATGGAAGGGTTACGAACATCATTCTGGAAGGCTGGCTGCTAACGCCGATCTTTAGACCACAGAAGAAACACAGCGCACCCGCATCTGACCCCGCTCCAACGGCCACATGCATTGTACCCAGCGACGGCTGGAAACCCATCCCCTACGGAGGCAGCCCTGGAAGAGGCACCGACCCCTGAGATTCAAACCCAATAAAGAACCGAAGTACCCAGCGGGAACGCAGTACTTCCTCACGGTGCTGGAAGGACAAGCGGGCGAGCCGCCCCCGGCTCCGGTCGGCA